AATTTCATTTTGTTCACGTTTATGAGGATGGATGTTACTTTTTGGCTAAACACATCATATAAGTGCATGTACCTCACCATGTATCCCAAGTAGAGCGCCATCAATCATCATTATTGAAAAAGATCATTTCGTCCCTAAATTTCATTTTGTTCACGTTTATGAGGATGGATGTTACTTTTTGGCTAAACACATCATATAAGTGCATGTACCTCACCATGTATCCCAAGTAGAGCGCCATCAATCATCATTATTGAAAAAGATCATTTCGTCCCTAAATTTCATTTTGTTCACGTTTATGAGGATGGATGTTACTTTTTGGCTAAACACATCATATAAGTGCATGTACCTCACCATGTATCCCAAGTAGAGCGCCATCATTCCTCATAATTGAAAAAAAGATCATTTCGTCCCTAAAATTCATTTTTTTCACGTTGATAAGGATAGATGTTTCTTTTCGGCTGAATACATCACATTAGTGCATCTACCCTACCATCTATCCCAAGACGAGCAGCATCAATCCTCAAAATTTAAAAAAATATCATTTTCGTCCCTAAATTTCATTTTTTCAAAGTTTATGAGGATTGATATTACTTTTCGATTGAACACTTCACAAAAGTGCATGTACCCTACCATGTATCCTAGGAGAGCAGCATCAATCCTCATAATTTAAAAAAAAAGTCATTTCTGTCTCTAAATTTCGTTTTTTCGAGTTCATGAGGATTGATGTTACTTTCCGACTGAAGACATCATATAAGTGCATGTACACTACCATGTTTCCATAGGAGAGAGGCATCAATCCTCATAATTTTAAAGAAATGTCAATTTCGTCCCTAAATTTCATTTTTCAAAGTTTATGAGGATTGATGTTACTTTTTGATTGAACAAATCACAAAAGTGCATGTACCTTGCCATGTATCCTAGGAGAGCAGCATCAATCCTCATAATTTCAAAAAAAAGTCATTTCTGTCTCTAAATTTCGTTTTTTCGAGTTTATGAGGATTGATGTTACTTTCCGACTGAAGACATCATATAAGTACATGTACACTACCATGTTTCCATAGGAGAGGGGCATCAATCCTCAAAATTTAAAAAAATATCATTTTCGTCCCTAAATTTCATTTTTTCAAAGTTTATGAGGATTGATATTACTTTTCGATTGAACACTTCACAAAAGTGCATGTACCCTACCATGTATCCTAGGAGAGCAGCATCAATCCTCATAATTTCAAAAAAAAGTCATTTCTGTCTCCAAATTTCGTTTTTTCGAGTTTATGAGGATTGATGATACTTTCCGACTGAAGACATCATATAAGTGCATGTACACTACCATGTTTCCCAAGGAGAGGGGCAACAATCTTCATAGTTTTAAAAAATATCATTTTCGTTCCTAAATATCATTTTTTTTCACGTTGATGAGGATTGATGTTACTTTTTGACTGAACACATCACACAAGTGCATGTACCCTACCATGTTTCCCAAGGAGAGCGGCATCAATCCTCATAATTTTAAAAAAATGTCATTTTCGTCGATAAATTTCATTTTGTTCACGTTTATGAGGATGGATGTTACTTTTTGGCTAAACACATCATATAAGTGCATGTACCTCACCATGTATCCCAAGTAGAGCGCCATCAATCATCATTATTGAAAAAGATCATTTCGTCCCTAAATTTCATTTTGTTCACGTTTATGAGGATGGATGTTACTTTTTGGCTAAACACATCATATAAGTGCATGTACCTCACCATGTATCCCAAGTAGAGCGCCATCAATCATCATAATTGAAAAAAATCATTTCGTCCCTAAATTTCATATTTTCACGTTTATGAGGATTGATGTTACTTTCCGAATGAACACATCACATAAGTGCATGTACACTACCATGTTTCCCAAGGAGAGTGGCATCAATCCTCAACATTTTCAAAAAAGTCACTTTCGTCCCTAAATTTCAATTTTTTAATGTTTATGAGGATTGATATTACTTTTCGGCTAAACACATCACATTAGTGCATGTATCCTACATTGTATCCCAATGAGAGCGCCATCATTCCTCATAATTGAAAAAAAGATCATTTCGTCCCTAAATTTCATTTTTTTCACGTTGATAAGGATAGATGTTTCTTTTCGGCTGAATATATCACATTAGTGCATCTACCCTACCATCTATCCCAAGACGAGCAGCATCAATCCTCAAAATTTAAAAAAATATCATTTTCGTCCCTAAATTTCATTTTTTCAAAGTTTATGAGGATTGATATTACTTTTCGATTGAACACTTCACAAAAGTGCATGTACCCTACCATGTATCCTAGGAGAGCAGCATCAATCCTCATAATTTAAAAAAAAAGTCATTTCTGTCTCTAAATTTCGTTTTTTCGAGTTCATGAGGATTGATGTTACTTTCCGACTGAAGACATCATATAAGTGCATGTACACTACCATGTTTCCATAGGAGAGAGGCATCAATCCTCATAATTTTAAAGAAATGTCAATTTCGTCCCTAAATTTCATTTTTCAAAGTTTATGAGGATTGATGTTACTTTTTGATTGAACAAATCACAAAAGTGCATGTACCTTACCATGTATCCTAGGAGAGCAGCATCAATCCTCATAATTTCAAAGAAAAGTCATTTCTGTCTCTAAATTTCGTTTTTTCGAGTTTATGAGGATTGATGTTACTTTTTGACTGAACACACCAGATTAGTGTATGTACCCTACCATGTATCCCAAGGACAACGGCAACAATCTTCATAGTTTTAAAAAATATCATTTTCGTTCCTAAATATCATTTTTTTCACGTTGATGAGGATTGATGTTACTTTTTGACTGAACACATCACACAAGTGCACGTACCCTACCATGTTTCCCAAGGAGAGCGGCATCAATCCTCATAATTTTAAAAAAATGTCATTTTCGTCGATAAATTTCATTTTTTTCGAGTTTATGAGAATTGATGTTACTTTCTGACTGAACACATCATATAAGTGCATGTACCTCACCATGTATCGCAAGTAGAGCGCCATCAATCATCATAATTGAAAAAAATCATTTCGTCCCTAAATTTCATATTTTCACGTTTATGAGGATTGATGTTACTTTCCGAATGAACACATCACATAAGTGCATGTACACTACCATGTTTCCCAAGGAGAGTGGCATCAATCCTCATAATTTTAAAGAAATGTCATTTTCGTCCCTAAATTTCATTTTTCAAAGTTTATGAGGATTGATATTACTTTTCGATTGAACACATCACAAAAGTGCATGTACCCTACCATGTATCCTAGGAGAGCAGCATCAATCCTCATAATTTCAAAAAAAAATCATTTCTGTCTCTAAATTTCGTTTTTTCGAGTTTATGAGGATTGATGTTACTTTCCGATTGAACACTTCACAAAAGTGCATGTACCCTACCATGTATCCTAGGAGAGCAGCATCAATCTTTATAATTTCAAAAAAAAGTCATTTCTGTCTCTAAATTTCGTTTTTTCGAGTTTATGAGGATTGATGTTACTTTCCGACTGAAGACATCATATAAGTGCATGTACACTACCATGTTTCCCAAGGAGAGGGGCATCAATCCTCATAATTTTAAAGAAATGTCATTTTCGTCCCTAAATTTCATTTTTCAAATTTTATGAGGATTGATGTTACTTTTCGACTCAACCCAAGAAAAAAGTGGATGTACCCTACCATGTATCCCAAGGACAGCGTCATCACTCCTCATAATTTGAAAAAATCATTTCGTCCCTAAATTTCATATTTTCACGTTTATGAGGATTGATGTTACTTTCCGAATGAACACATCACATAAGTGCATGTACACTACCATGTTTCCCAAGGAGAGTGGCATCAATCCTCAACATTTTCAAAAAAGTCACTTTCGTCCCTAAATTTCAATTTTTTAATGTTTATGAGGATTGATATTACTTTTCGGCTAAACACATCACATTAGTGCATGTATCCTACATTGTATCCCAATGAGAGCGCCATCATTCCTCATAATTGAAAAAAAGATCATTTCGTCCCTAAATTTCATTTTTTTCACGTTGATAAGGATAGATGTTTCTTTTCGGCTGAATATATCACATTAGTGCATCTACCCTACCATCTATCCCAAGACGAGCAGCATCAATCCTCAAAATTTAAAAAAATATCATTTTCGTCCCTAAATTTCATTTTTTCAAAGTTTATGAGGATTGATATTACTTTTCGATTGAACACTTCACAAAAGTGCATGTACCCTACCATGTATCCTAGGAGAGCAGCATCAATCCTCATAATTTAAAAAAAAAGTCATTTCTGTCTCTAAATTTCGTTTTTTCGAGTTCATGAGGATTGATGTTACTTTCCGACTGAAGACATCATATAAGTGCATGTACACTACCATGTTTCCATAGGAGAGAGGCATCAATCCTCATAATTTTAAAGAAATGTCAATTTCGTCCCTAAATTTCATTTTTCAAAGTTTATGAGGATTGATGTTACTTTTTGATTGAACAAATCACAAAAGTGCATGTACCTTACCATGTATCCTAGGAGAGCAGCATCAATCCTCATAATTTCAAAGAAAAGTCATTTCTGTCTCTAAATTTCGTTTTTTCGAGTTTATGAGGATTGATGTTACTTTTTGACTGAACACACCAGATTAGTGTATGTACCCTACCATGTATCCCAAGGACAACGGCAACAATCTTCATAGTTTTAAAAAATATCATTTTCGTTCCTAAATATCATTTTTTTCACGTTGATGAGGATTGATGTTACTTTTTGACTGAACACATCACACAAGTGCACGTACCCTACCATGTTTCCCAAGGAGAGCGGCATCAATCCTCAT